TATGCCTGGAATGTTTTAGATGTTCAGTAAACATTTGTTGAATGGACTTTGGGTGGAGATTTTATGTGGTTATTGCTGATGACATGGCAGGCTCTCAGGCAAGAACTTGAATTGGTTCAATGTCCATGACCTGCAAGCCACCAGGCCCTAGTACAATCTTAGATGAAACCTTCTGACCAAATGAAACCGAATGCCAGCAGAAAAAAGAAAATGATTTTCTCACCTGTAAGATGGCAGATGGCTGGACTCAAAGTTCTGAAGAACCCTACAGCTCTAGCAGGTAGCCTTTCTGTCAGGCCACAGATTTATTTTATTTTAGTGGTGCTGGGGATTAAACCCACGCTCATACATGCTAAACACAAACTACCACTGAGCTACATCTCCTGCCCAAAAGCTTTATTGCTGGCATCTGGGATGAGGTTTCGACATATAAACCATAGTGTGCACAAAAGAAAAAAATAACTTAGGCATTCTTAAGGATAGACCATATGTTAAACCATAAAAGAAGTCAATGAATTTTAAAAAAATGAAATCATGTAAGTCATATTTTCCAATTGTAATGGAATGAATTAGTAGCAAAGGGAAAATTGAAAAATAGGTGAGAATTAAACAACATTTTTAAATTTTTTATTTTATATATTTATTTAGCCATACTGAAGATCGAATCCATGGCTTCTCATATGCTAGGCAAGTGCTCTACCACTGAGTATACCCATAACCCAACATTTTCATTAAACAACCAATGAATGAGAAATGAAATCAAGGGAAATTAGAAAATAATCTTAAGACATGAAAACAAAAAGAAAGCATACCAAAACTTAAGGAATGCAATAAAAACAGTCCTAAGAAAGAAATTTATAGCTGTAAATGCTTACAATTAAAAAAGTTTTCAAACCAACAACAAAAATTTATACACTGAAAAACTAAAAAAAAGAAAAAAGACCAAATGAAACCAAATGCTAGCAGAAAAAAGAAAATGATTAGAGCAGAGATAAGAGAACAGAAAATGATAGAGGAAATCAATGAAACCAAAAGTTTGCATTTCTTTCTTTCTTTTCTTTCTTTCCTTTTGATACTTGGATTGAACCCCSAGGGTGCTTTACCACTGAGCCATATCCCCAGCCCTTTTTATGTTTTAAGAGAGGGTCTCACWAAATTGCTTAGGGTCTTTAAATTGCTGAAGTTGGGTTCAAACTTGCATTCCTGGAGGATCGTGAGTTCAAAGCCAACCTCAGMAACTTATAGAGGCCCTAATCAACTCAGTGAGACCCTTTCTCTAAATAAAATATAAAAAGGGTTGGGGATGTGGCTTGAGGTTAAGCATCCCTGGGTTCAATCCCTGGTGCCCAAACAAAACAAAACAAAACAAAACCTTGCATTCCTCCTGCCTGAGCCTCCCAAGCCACTGGGATTATAGATGTGCACCACTGTACCCAGCAAAAGTTTGCATTTTTTAATAAAATTGCCAACGGTTAGCTAGATTGACTAAGAAAGACTCAAATTACTAAAAATCAGAGATGAAAGTGGGAACATTACTACTGATTCTTTAAAAATAAAAAGAATTATGAGAGAAAACTATGGATAAATTGTATGCCCACAAACTGGAGAGCCTAGACAACCCAAATGAAATGGACAAATTCCTGGAAACACAAGATCTATCAAGATTAAATCATTAAGCAACAGAAAATCTGAATAGACTTATAACTAGTAAGGATGTTGAATTGGTTGAATTCTACCAAACATTCAAAGTGCACCAGTCCTTCTCAAACTCTTCCAAAAAATCGAAGGGAAGGGAACACTTTCTAACTCACTCCATGGAGCAAGCATTACCCTGATACCAAAGTCAGAGACACTACTAGAAAACTATAGACTAATATCCCTTATAAATATTATTTGGGTTTTTTTTTKGGGGGGGACAGGGTTTTGCTATGTGGCACGGGCTGGTCTCCAATTTCTGGGCTCCAATGTTCCTCCCCCTCAGCATCCTGAGGGAAGTGCTTAGCTGGTACTGCAGGCATTACATCACCACACCTGACTCCCTTATACATATTGATGCAAGCTGTCTTTCCCTCTGGAGATAGCTCACATTCTCCCTTGAATGGCTCAACATCCTTAATAAGAAAATCAATCAGTATAATATATCTCATTAATAAAATG